TGATCACAAAAACACTGATCCAAGTATGCAGAATAACCACATATGAAAAATAGAAAATGCTTAACGCGTTTTCGGCTAATTCGCCTTCATCAGAGCAAAGTAGAATGAAGATAAGTTTGCTGATCAGACCTTTATATCCGCCTGGGCAGATCACCTGACCACCAAAAATAAGTGGAGGAAAGGAATCATAAGAAAGAAATATTCTTTCTTATAATTCCTTTCCTCCACTTATTTTGGTGGTCAGGTGATCTGCCCAGGCGGATATAAAGGTCTGATCAGCAAACTTATCTTCATTCTACTTTGCTCTGATGAAGGCGAATTAGCCGAAAACGCGTTAAGCATTTTCTATTTTTCATATGTGGTTATTCTGCATATATATATATATATATATATATATATATATATATATATATATATATATATATATATATATATATATATATATATATATATATATATATATATATATATATATATATGCAATTGACGATCACAAAACACTGATCATTTTATGCGGAAAATCCACAGAGAAATAAGAAATGAGGTGAACGTTTCGGCTTTGTTAAAGCCTTTGTCAACACCAGACTGACTCAGTCAGTCTGGTGTTGACAAAGGCTTTAACAAAGCCGAAACGTTCACCTCATTTCTTATTTCTGTGGATTTTCCGCATAAAATGATCAGTGTTTTGTGATCGTCAATTGCATATATATATATATATATATATATATATATATATATATATATATATATATATATATATATATATATTATTAAATATGACCGAAAAAGTAAGATTAATAATTCTAACACGAATTTTCTCAATCTTTCGTACATTACGCTTCACTGTTGGAGGTAAATCAAAAATCACTTCTCCAAAATTCATTTTTATTTCTAGTCTGACGCGACACGGGCGCGTTTCGTAAAACTTATTACATTTTCAAAGACTTCACAAATACACAACTGATTAGAACTTACGTCTCTCTGATATTATATCTACATTTGAGTGAGGTGGGAAGGATGATGTGGCATTAACACAAGACAGAACAGGGGATATTAATAGGGTATTAAAAGTATCAACACAAGACAGAACAGAAAACAATGGGTATTGAATAGAAGTGTTTGTAGAAAGCCTATTGGTCCATATTTCTTGATGCTTCTATATTGGAGCGGAGTCTTGAGGTGGGTAGAATATAGTTGTGCAATAATTGGCTGTTGATTGCTGGTGTTGACTTCTTGATGTGTAGTGCCTCGCAAACGTCAAGCCGCCTGCTATCGCTGTATCTATCGATGATTTCTGTGTTGTTTACTAGGATTTCTCTGGCGATGGTTTGGTTATGGGAAGATATTCTATGTTCCTTAATGGAGCCCTGTTGCTTATGCATCGTTAAACGCCTAGAAAGAGATGTTGTTGTCTTGCCTATATACTGGGTTTTTTGGAGCTTACAGTCCCCAAGTGGGCATTTGAAGGCATAGACGATGTTAGTCTCTTTTAAAGCGTTCTGTTTTGTGTCTGGAGAGTTTCTCATGAGTAGGCTGGCCGTTTTTCTGGTTTTATAGTAAATAGTCAGTTGTATCCTCTGATTTTTGTCTGTAGGGATAACGTTTCTATTAACAATATCTTTCAGGACCCTTTCCTCCGTTTTATGAGCTGTGGAAAAGAAGTTCCTGTAAAATAGTCTAATAGGGGGTATAGGTGTTGTGTTAGTTGTCTCTTCAGAGGTTGCATGGCTTTTCACTTTCCTTCTTATGATGTCTTCGATGAAACCATTGGAGAAGCCGTTATTGACTAGAACCTGCCTTACCCTACAGAGTTCTTCGTCGACTTGCTTCCATTCTGAGCTGTGGCTGAGAGCACGGTCGACGTATGCGTTAACAACACTCCTCTTGTACCTGTCGGGGCAGTCGCTGTTGGCATTTAGGCACATTCCTATGTTTGTTTCCTTAGTGTAGACTGTAGTGTGGAAACCTCCGCCCTTTTCCATGACTGTTACATCTAGAAAAGGCAGCTTCCCATCCTTTTCCGTCTCGTAAGTGAAACGCAGCACGGAACTCTGCTCAAATGCCTCCTTCAGCTCCTGCAGATGTCTGACATCAGGTACCTGTGTAAAAATGTCGTCAACATACCTGCAGTATATGGCCGGTTTCAAGTTCATGTCGACTAAGACTTTTTGCTCGATGGTACCCATGTAGAAGTTTGCAAACAGGACACCTAGGGGAGAACCCATGGCGACCCCATCTACTTGCTTATACATGTGCCCATCCGGGCTCAAGAAGGGTGCCTCTTTAGTACAAGCTTGGAGTAGTTTCCTCAGAATACTTTCTGGCATGTCAAGAGGAGTACAGGCTGGATCACGATACACTCTGTCGGCTATCATTCCGATTGTCTCGTCCACAGGTACGTTGGTAAACAGCGATTCTACGTCCAACGAGGCTCTTATCCCTGTGGCCCGTGTGCCCCGCAGTAAGTCCACAAATTCCTTTGGAGACTTCAGGCTGAAGGCGCAAGGAACATAAGGAGTCAGCAGGCCGTCGAGTCGCTTCGCCAGTCTGTACGTGGGTGTGGGTATCTGGCTAATGATTGGCCGAAGTGGGTTTCCAGGCTTGTGCGTCTTGACATTTCCATACGCATATCCAGGTTTATATTCCCCAATGATCTTTGGCAGGTGGAGTCCGGATTTCTTGGCGTTCACAGTTTCGATCTGTTTGTTGACCTTTGCTTTTAATTCGGCTGTAGTGTCCTTCGTTACCCTTTGGAACTTAGTTTGGTCAGAGAGTATGATGTTCATTTTCGCCAGATATTCGTCTTTAAGAATGACATATATTGGCGACTTGTCACCTCTCCTGACAACTATCTCCTTGTTCTCACGAAGGCTTTTAGCTGCCGCTTTAAGCTCGGGGGACAGTATGGTGCTTCTGTAGTTGCCTCGATTCTTTCCTCCTTCTGCAATAAGTTCTGCTTGTAAGGTATCTTTGGTAGTGACCCTCTTTTGTGTCTCGAGGTCGAATATGTCGTCCAACAGAATTTCCAACTCTACTTTCCGGGCCATTTCACTCGGTCTGGACATAACATGACAGTTTATGCCCAGATTTAGGAGAGTGACTTGGTCCTCAGTGAGGTTAATTCCTGCAAGGTTCAGGAAGCCATCTCTTGGTCGTGGAATTGCCATAGGTCCTCCATATAATCCTCCTTGAATTGCCATAGGTCCTCCTTGAAACCGGCCATATACTGCAGGTATGTTGACGACATTTTTACACAGGTACCTGATGTCAGACATCTGCAGGAGCTGAAGGAGGCATTTGAGCAGAGTTCCGTGCTGCGTTTCACTTACGAGACGGAAAAGGATGGGAAGCTGCCTTTTCTAGATGTAACAGTCATGGAAAAGGGCGGAGGTTTCCACACTGCAGTCTACACTAAGGAAACAAACATAGGAATGTGCCTAAATGCCAACAGCGACTGCCCCGACAGGTACAAGAGGAGTGTTGTTAACGCATACGTCGACCGTGCTCTCAGCCACAGCTCAGAATGGAAGCAAGTCGACGAAGAACTCTGTAGGGTAAGGCAGGTTCTAGTCAATAACGGCTTCTCCAATGGTTTCATCGAAGACATCATAAGAAGGAAAGTGAAAAGCCATGCAACCTCTGAAGAGACAACTAACACAACACCTATACCCCCTATTAGACTATTTTACAGGAACTTCTTTTCCACAGCTCATAAAACGGAGGAAAGGGTCCTGAAAGATATTGTTAATAGAAACGTTATCCCTACAGACAAAAATCAGAGGATACAACTGACTACTATAAAACCATAAAAACGGCCAGCCTACTCATGAGAAACTCTCCAGACACAAAACAGAACGCTTTAAAAGAGACTAACGTCGTCTATGCCTTCAAATGCCCACTTGGGGACTGTAAGCTCCAAAAAACCCAGTATATAGGCAAGACAACAACATCTCTTTCTAGGCGTTTAACGATGCATAAGCAACAGGGCTCCATTAAGGAACATATAATCTCTTCCCATAACCAAACCATCGCCAGAGAAATCCTAGTAAACAACACAGAAATCATCGATAGATACAGCGATAGCAGGCGGCTTGACGTTTGCGAGGCACTACACATCAAGAAGTCAACACCAGCAATCAACAGCCAATTATTGCACAACTATATTCTACCCACCTCAAGACTCCGCTCCAATATAGAAGCATCAAGAAATATGGACCAATAGGCTTTCTACAAACACTTCTATTCAATACCCATTGTTTTCTGTTCTGTCTTGTGTTGATACTTTTAATACCCTATTAATATCCCCTGTTCTGTCTTGTGTTAATGCCACATCATCCTTCCCACCTCACTCAAATGTAGATATAATATCAGAGAGACGTAAGTTCTAATCAGTTGTGTATTTGTGAAGTCTTTGAAAATGTAATAAGTTTTACGAAACGCGCCCGTGTCGCGTCAGACTAGAAATAAAAATGAATTTTGGAGAAGTGATTTTTTATTTACCTCCAACAGTGAAGCGTAATGTACGAAAGATTGAGAAAATTCGTGTTAGAATTATTAATCTTACTTTTTCGGTCATATTTAATAATATATGTCTACGGGAAAGACTGCTACCAAAATATACTAATATATATATATATATATATATATATATATATATATATATATATATATATATATATATATATATATATATATATATATATATATATATATATATAACATTAGGCAACAATCAGGTAATGGTTCTCTCAGTCTCAGTCACTCGTATATCACAGGCATCTTTTATTTGTCAAATGATTTTGGAAGGAAAATTATTCTGCAGTTCAACAGAAATAATATGTTTCGTGCCTGGACAATTGATTTTGTATTCACTGGAAAAAAATTAATTGTGTTTTGTGGCATTATAGACACGAATATTTCATTTATAAATTAATATAGTTTATAATTAAAATGTAAACAAAAGATTCTGGCCATAAAAGTTAATGACTGTAACCTTGCAGGAACATAGATGCCCTGGAACCCTCGGAAGGAATGCTGAACGTTCTTAAAAAGAAAGGAGTGTACAACCTTACATATCACGAGTTCATAAGCAAGAACCCGACAACCATTCCTCAAGGTTAGAACACGTCCCTGTCCTCAGCCTTAATGCTGTAATGAATAAGTAACAAAATCTGGGGTATGGAACCGTATGTGTCGTCGCTTCTGTAATATAAAGTATTGAGAAAGTTCATAGGAGCCTTGATGAGGGTTTGAGCCTATGTGGTGGGTGTTCACACGCACACTCCCTAGTCAACTAGGCCACGACACTGTCAAAAGAATTGCAACCTGAAGATCTACCGAACTCACAAGGGTTTCCTGAGGCTCCCACTGTAGCCGGACCAGGATTTTCACACAATCACCCCATGCACTCTGGCTCTGTTATCAAGGAATGTTTTTCCCCTGACACTCCTTTCTCATTACTTCCTGGATGACAGAGCCAGAGAGAATGGGGGGATTGTGTGAAAATTCTGGTTCAGCTTCAGTGGAATCCTCAGGAAACCCTGGTGAGCTCAGTAGAACTCCAGGTTGCGATTCTTTTGACCATGTCATGGTCTAGCTGACTATAGCATGTGCGTGGGAACACCCACCACATAGATTTGAATTCTCATACGGTGCCTACGGATTTTCTCATTGACACATCACGTTAATGTGATTACTCTCCGTGTATAAAGTAAATGTTAATATATGTATAGATACTTACCTCCTACCTAACGTCAATGTAATTATACTAAATAACGTAAGCCAATCTATATAAACAAAAATGTAAATGTTTGTTTTGTTCAAAATCGCTAATCTATAAAAGCTCTTCAACGATTGCTTTGAAATTTTTACACAACCTTTCATTCGAATGCGCACATGTTTTTATATACCTACTGTATAGAGGGCACACCTGTGATGGGTAAAAACATTTTTTTTTAAACAGCACCAACTGTTGGACATAACAGCAACACACACTGTAATCTCCAAATGCTCTTCACCGATTGCTTTGAAATTTTGACACAACGTTCCATTCATATATGCGAGTGTTTTTATATACCTATTATATAGATGACACATCTGTAACAGGTAAAAACACACTATTTTTTAAACGGCGCCATCTGTTGGACGTTAAAGCAACACACACTGTAATCTCTGAATGTTCTTCACCGATTGCTTTGAAATTTTGACACAATGTTATAGTCGAATATGCACGGGTTTTTATATACGGTTTTGAGTCTGAGGAAGGTGGGAAGGACGATGAGAGGAAGAGCGCAACATGCGAGCATAAGAGACGTTAATATAAGGTGGGAGCCGGCGAACCTGGTGCCTCGCCTCAGGAAAAGATAAACACTCCCGGTGCTTCAAGTTGAGGACAGCTGCCTCAAGCTTGTAATGTATACACGCACGGGAGAAGGTAGGGTGGGCCTCACTGCAATTGAGGCAGCGAGTCTGGGGAGAAGTGCACTCCGACTTACAGTGACCTTCGTCCCCACACAAAGGACAGCGAGACAGTTCCAGAGCAGCGGAGGGCACCATGCCCAAACCTCCAGCACTTATTACAGAGCCGAGGAGAGGGAATGTACTCCTGGACAGAGCACCTGGCACAAGCAAGGATGACTGAGGGCGGAAGGGTCCTACCATCAAAGGTAATCTTCATAACCCGAAGGGGCTGATGGCGACGACCACGAGGGGGACGAGTAAACGTGTCTACCTGGAGGACAGAATGGCCTTGGGCATCGAGGATATGCCGAATATCATCGTGGCAGTCCTGCAAATTTTGAACACCAGTTGCAACATGGGGCGGGAGGAGAATAGTGCCAACACTGGCATTCAACCGAGGGGTCTCGGTTGAATAGGGGTCTCGCCAAGGCAGGATAAGGCAGCCAAGCGGGAAGCCGCATCCTGAGAAGGAGCAGCAACGACACTTGTACCAAGACGAGAGGGGTTGAAGGTAACAGAGGTATCTACGGAATCAACAAGATACCTATGGAGGGAGAAATCGGCAGGAGGCGTAGAATCAAGAGGGAGGAGATCAAAGTATTTGGCTCATGAAGCGGGACCAAACAAGGCCTGATACACATCAGTACGGGAAAGAACCGAGCGAGTGCGGGCGTGGCATGGACGGCGTTGAGAACCGCCAGAGAGGGGTTAAAAGGTGCAGTATGCAGCAATGAGAGACTGATCCGTGCCAAGGGACGAAATGGTCACCACTGGGAGCTTGTGGCTCGACCCAACCACAGAGTAGGGAGGGGAGCCGAGGGGAGAAGTCAGGAGGGTCAAAGGAATAGCAAGGACGGGGCCCAACGCAGCAGGGGCAACAGAGCCTGGTCTTCCAATACAGTCCGACTCGGGGACTTGGTCACTCACCCCATGAGCCTGAGAGGGTACAAGAGAAACATTCAATGACATAAAGACGAAAAAGAGACATTTTCATTTACGAATGTGCCCCCATACCCCCCATGGAGCAACAATTAGAGGCAGGACACCCAACAACAAGCTATCGCCGATCATGCCGGGGCCTCCTAGGGGGTGCGTCGTGAGTATACACCCCACAAACCCCACTTTAAGAACCGTCAGTCCATCAAGATCGGGTTCAGTGTCGAAAGGAGGATTGACAAAAAAAGGTTCCCCTCACTTAAGACGTTGTGTTCTGCAGTTCTACGGGTGCAAGAGTATGCCTCCTCAAACACCCGGGCGTCAAAACAAAAGAAGGCTAAAAGAATGATCAAAACAGGCACAAGGTCAGCAGGAAATGACAACAAGGAAGGAGAAGAGGGGGGGGGGGAAGAAAAACGAAACAAAAGGAAAAGGCGTCCGGCAAAATTTGTGAGGACAGCAGCAGGAGCACAAGGCTAGAAAAGGACAGGGGACCGCCCTAAGGAGCATCACTCCGGCAGCCACCCACCAAGCCCCTCCACGGCAACAACGAGCTGGACAGGGAGGGGGGACCATTCTCATGTCGATTGTGGTGGGAAGGGACGACGACGAAAGGTCGTCGTCCCTTCACTTTCTAAAGTGTATTTTGGTCAACTCATAATTTAATTTAGAGAACCAGTTTGTAATATATTCAGTCCTCAGACTGAAACAGTTATGGTTATAATAGGTAATCAGAATTGGTTGCCAAAGGATTTTTGGATGACATGGGAAAACTTTTATCGTTATACTTTTTCTAGAGATAAATTATCACTAACACCTTTTTTGGGCTAACTTATTTTATTTAATTGATCATTTGATTGTTATGGTCACTTAGGGCCAGTAACCGATTCTTGATGTTAACCCTTTTTATAGTGACCGACCCCCAAGTCGGTAGTATGCTTTCAAGAACTGGCTGTATAGTGCAATGTAGAAATAAGGTGGGAATAAACAATACACGGTTTCCTTCACCAATATATATATATATATATATATATATATATATATATATATATATGTCGTACCTAGTAGCCAGAATGCACTTCTCAGCCTACTATGCAAGGCCCGATTTGCCTAATAAGCCAAGTTTTCATGAATTAATTGTTTTTCGACTACCTAACCTAACCTAACCTAACTTTTTCGGCTACCTAACCTAACCTAACCTATAAAGATAGGTTAGGTTAGGTTAGGTAGGGTTGGTTAGGTTCGGTCATATATCTACTTTAATTTTAACTCCAATAAAAAAAAATTGACCTCATATATAATGAAATGGGTAGCTTTATCATTTCATAAGAAAAAAATTAGAGAAAATATATTAATTCAGGAAAACTTGGCTTATTAGGCAAATCGGGCCATGCATAGTAGGCTGAGAAGTGCGTTCTGGCTACTAGGTACGACATATATATATAATATATATATATATATATATATATATATATATATATATATATATATATATATATATATATATATATATATATATATATATATATATATATATATATATATATATATGTCGTACCTAGTAGCCAGAACGCACTTCTCAGCCTACTATGCAAGGCCCGATTTGCCTAATAAGCCAAGTTTTCATGAATTAATGTTTTTCGACTACCTAACCTAACCTAACTTTTTCTGCTACTTAACCTAACCTAACCTATAAAGATAGGTTCAAACAAAAAACATCACACTTTCGCGCTCTCGGCGCTCAAAAAGAAATCAATACCCCAGATGCTTTCGGCACTTCGCGCGCCTATGCGGTAAGACCGAAAAAGTGTACACTCTTTTATACAATACAATACAATACAATTTTATTTAGGTAAGGTACATACATACAATAAATTTTTACATGGATTGGTTGACTTATAGGTACTAGTACATACAATGCCTAAAGCCACTATTACGCAAAGCGTTTGGGGCATAAACTTCGGGCATTTTGACTGTCCTGACAATAATTGAAGGCGCACGTATTTAAATTTGGTATCACTGTGTTCGCAATGAAATTGTCTATAAGAGCATACCTATAAAATGCCGCCCAAGCATAAGGAGTATCAACACCAAATAAAAAACTATGCAAATCACTCGCCGAGAGCGCCAAACAGCAACAAAATGTTTCCACTCTCTTAATGGTTGCGAAGCCTACAGTTGTCCTACATCGCTAATTTTGGTATCATTGGAATCGGAATAAAATTCTCTACACGGACATATGCATATGAATGTTTAATATAGGTAATTGCCCACCCGCAAGAGTGTGTGAAGTGGAGAGTAGTTGGCCGCGAGAGCACTGGCGAAAACACAGGGGGGAAATCATGCTTGGAAAGTTTATACATTTATACGTTTCCTGACCCTACTTTTCTATGTACGTATTTCTTTTTTATACCAATGTGTTCGCAATAAAATTTTCTATAAGATGAAATGTATAACATTTGTACAAAGCATGTGTAAGAGAAGCGCTAAATATAGAACCACGTCGCTCAGTATGCGTTCGCGGCAGAAACGAACGCATTGTTTTCGTTCGTTTGATGTTTGTCATGTTTATACTTGTTGAAACATTTTATAATTTGTATGACAGTGATCGCAGTAAAATTCCCTACACAGACATATACATAACACATACAAATATTTCCCACGTGTTGGATATATCAACGGCTAAAGGGAACCCACTGCCACACGCCCGCCACACCCAGA